TGTTTGACAGATGCAATGCTTGTATTGCTGCAAGAGGTGCACATTTCGAACAAAATCTTCATTAAAAAGTTTATAAATAAAATAATTAAAATAATAAATTAAATATATTTTTTTCTTTTTTCGTGATTTCCTGCGAAACAAAGCAAAAAGGAGCATATGTCTATAGGACTTTTTTTCTTAGTTTTTTACTCCTCTACACGCTCCCGAAGTTTTGCCATTTAATTTGGAAACACCCTGTATATATACTGTGTGTTGTACATATTCTAAATTTAAATTTGTGAGACAACAAATTTGTGATTCATCGAATCTCTAATTACTCTTGAATCATTGGGTGTATTCAGTACTACAACCGTTCACCGAGCGCTTGCATCTTATTGGTATATTTTGTTAGAACTAAAAATATAGACCAAACAGATACAAGAACTCACTGAGCGCTCAGTAAGCGGTCGTGGTACTGAATGCACCCAATATTATTTTAGGATGTTGTCTTAAAATAAATAAAAAAAAGAATACAAAATAATTAAAATATAGAATACAATTATAACCAATATGCAACGAAACAGTATCTTAAGCTTATAAAGTATTATCTGCATTAATAATATTACTTATTTAGCTTAAAGTATTATCTGCATTATAATAATATTACTTATTTAGCTTTTAAATATAAAATATCTACGTTCAAATAATTATATTGAAATAACTATATGTTTTTTTCATCAATTTTATGTAATTTGGTCAAAAGTATCGTTATTTACAGTTTAAAAAATTAGTTTTTTACTTGATACTTTTCTCCGAAGTAAAAAATATCGTTTTTTTACATCTCTAATTATGCGTTATGAGATATGCAAAAGTCTGTGTCTCAAGCTAGAGATCCTCGAGTATACTCTAAATAAAATCATACATATGTGAACATTGCGCTTTTCCTACTCCCTTGTTTTTAATATGTATTATCTTCCTATTATGTATTAGTACCTTACATTACGTTTTTCCTATTCCTTTTGTTTTTAATATGTATTATCTTCTAGTAAGTATTCAAACAAAGTAAAGATGCGACAAACATAAATTTAGCGAAATGAATATTATATATTCACTTAGTTAGATTTATGTTTGGCGCGTTTTATTTTATGTAAGTAGGAATAAAATACGATTGCGCCATTGATTGCGTCATATTCTTGCAACGTCGTCATCAACCAATCCCGTAGCGATTTCAATTCGCGCATCTCTTATACCCGTGTCACACTACGCATTTGAGACTGAGGATTGCGAATTGAGGATTAGAATTCAGCCAATTAGAACGAAACGGATTAAATTTAAAATTACCTGATTGATCGAATTCTAATCCTTAATTTGTAATCCTCAATCTCCAATGCATAGTGTGAGGCCGGAATCAGACTAGGCATTGAAGATTGAGATTGAAGATTGAAAAATTCAAATTTGACCAATCGAAACGAAAGGAGCTAAAATTTCTTTGTCCTTATTGGTCAAATTTCAATCTTCAATCTTCAACCTCAATCTTCAATGCGTAGTCTAAGGGCGGAATCAGACTACGCATTGAATACTGAGATTGAAGATTGAAAGATTGAAATTTGACCAATCAAAACAATAGGAGCTAGAATTCCTTTATCCTCATTGGTCAAATTTCAATCTTCAATGCGTAGTCTGATTCCGGCCTGGCACGAGAGTTTGGCCCTGCGCATAATGGAGGAAATATTAGGAACAGGAATAGATATTAAGATTTCAACCTATCAGAAACCGTGTATTCTGGTGTAACTGGTATCTGATAGGTTAAAATCTTAATATCTATTCCTGTTTCTAATATTTCCTTTATTGTGCGCAAGGCCTTATGCAAGAGTCTGTACTGCGGCCATCAAAGGTAAATTTTCACAAGCTGCTTAAACCGGCTGTTTCAGCGACAAAAAGGGTCACGTTATCAAAATGAACGCTTGATATTCGTCAATTTTGATCACGTGATCTTTTTTGTCGCTGAACCAGCCTGTTTAAGCAGCTCGTGAAAATTTACCTTTAAGCAGTGCTGTCAGTTAATTTCAGAACATACCCGTAAAAGGTGCAAGCCTGTAAGCGGCAAGTTTGCAGACGAGCGTATGTTAACCTATAATAATTCAAAATGTACATATCTTTGCAAGTTTTTTTATTATACTGTTATTTAAAGTAATGCAAATATTTATTTAATTTATACTAACATTTTGATAGTTTTTATTATTTTTACACAAACTGGTTTTTTTGTCAATATTTCGCGTGTATTAATTTCAAGAAATAGGTTTTCTCGGCACAATATGTATTTAACTTTTTTGTTTTTATATTGAATAAATAATTGTTAAATGTTTATTTGTTTTAGATTTATTTATTTTTTTGCAATGGATGGCGTGGACTTATTTAATGTATTTCTTGCAACACATAAAGTACAACTTCAATCTTATGGTATCCCACATTTATTTTGGAAAGTTTTACATAAGAAATTAACAGATCAGATTTATGATGCTGGTCTTGTCTTCCAATTGACAAAAATAGAATATGAAAATGGAGAAAGGCATGTTACAGAACCAATATGGAAGTTAATTGTATCTGCAGAGAATGGTATTTCTATTCAAAATTCTAATAATATTTATCTTATCGATCATGCATGGACATATGATGTCAGCAATGTTCAACAGAATTTAATTCAAGTTCCTGGCTTACTTGATCGAATGTGCATTCTCATGGGAGTAAATACAGAGTTGGATGAGCAGAAGAAAGTCAAAGATGTTACAAATGAAATGTGGCGTTACAATCAATCGTATTCGGTGAACTATGGAGAGATAGAAGATAGAATGCCAATATGGTACATTATGGACGAGGTTGGTTCAGCGATAAATCACAGTGATGAGCCAAATTTTAGAGCAGTGCCTTTTCTGTATTTGCCAGAAGGTGTAATTTATACGCTTCTATTTCCTATAAAAGACGTTGCCACAGGTGATGAAGTCACGAGAGATTTTGTGGAAGGTCAAACGAAAGATCCTGAAAAAAGACGTGCACTATTATTGCCTTGGGTTTACAGTAGTTTTGAAGATGAAAGTTTTGAACAGAATGAACCAGATACAGATTATTTTTTAACAGGTCATGTTCCTGAAAGCTTGCCGGAGAACTTGGATGTAATCAAGATAGATAATAGCAGAAAATTAAAGGTTTTTTCACAATACAGTTATGTGAATAATTACTTGACAGATCCAGCATTTGAAATTACCGACAACGAAGAAGAGGCAGACATATTATGGTTTGTATCTCACTACAAGAGGTACAAGGAATTAAATGCTTCTTTATTTCACGTTTTTGTAAATCAATTTCCATATGAGAATGTTTTGACGACAAAGGATCTTCTATCGATTGTATGCAGAAGAAAGGCAATGGATAAATTGTATGACTCGGATACTCTTGAAACTTATCCAGCATGGTTACCGACGACATATAATCTGAGCACGGAATTGGTACAATTTGTTGCTTATTTCATGCAACGAGCAGATAAGGATTTGGATAATCATTGGATTTGCAAACCGTGGAACTTGGCAAGGGGTTTAGATACTCATATCACAAATAATCTCTATCATATTCTACGGCTGCCTTGCACAGGCCCAAAAATTGTGCAGAAATACATCGAACGGCCAGTTTTATATAATAGATCGGATATTAATCAAGTAAAATTTGATGTGAGATACGTTGTGTTGCTCAAATCTGTAAAGCCGCTACGTGCGTATGCTTATGCAAATTTCTTCCTGCGTTTTGCAAATCAACCATTTGCACTGAACAATTTTAATGCTTATGGGCAACATTTCACTGTGATGAATTATACCGAGGAGAATCCACTGTTTCATGAGAAATGTGCCGATTTCATCGTAGAATGGGAAAATCAATATCCCGATTATCCTTGGAAAACTTATGTTGAGCCAAAAATTCTTTCCGTTTTAAGACAAACCTTCGAAGCTGCAGTCGTGCAACCGCCTCCAAAAGGAATAGCCGAAAGTCCGCAAAGCAGAGCCGTATATGCTGCAGATATGATGTTGGAATGGAGAGACTGCGAAATGCAGCCCAAGCTGTTGGAAATAAATTTTACGCCCGATTGCCAGCGTGCGTGCGAATATTATCCAGACTTCTACAATGACATTTTTAAATGCTTGTTCCTAGATATCGACAATCCAGAAGTTTTTCATGTATTAGATTCAATCAGCGAGTAATATCAGATTGTTTATATAATTTAAAATTATAATAATTTCATTGTTATTGTATATGTGTATGATGTATGTGTGTGTGTGTATGTATATATATATATATATATATACACGCACACACACACACACAGGGTGACCCATTTTAATCTATCACCCCAAATATTTCCGTTCCCTTGCATTTTACAAAAAAATATTTCAGACAAAAATTATATGGTTTCAAGGGGGCCATAAAATGATACCATTGGTTTGACCTTGGACAGTCGCTTAAAGGTCACATGAAGGTCACCTTCAATTTCTTAAATTAAACCCACTATTATTCATTACATATTCTTGTAGCTTATCTCGAGAGCTTTCCAAAACACTATAATAAAATATTTTTTCATTAAGTATTTTTCGAGTTATAAGGTTCGGAAGTTACAGTACAACCGGCATTAGCATTACGCAAGTTGTCCGACCGACGGCTAAAACCTCTTGAATGTTGTTCAGGATTATGTTCTGGATGATATTTGTCAAGGCCATTGCAGGCTGTACCTCTTATTTTCATTTTTGCACTAAAAATTCATTTTTACATAACCACCAATGGCTTGATCTTAACAAATGTTATCCAGGACATGATCCTGAACAACATTCAAGACGTTTTAGCCGTCGGTTGGACAACTTTTGTCTGAAATATTTTCCTGTAAAATGCAAGGGAACGGAAATATTTGGAGTGATAGATTAAAATGGGTCACCCTGTATAACACACATGCATATACAGGGTATAACTGAAATAACGTCCATTAATTATACAGTGCTATTCCTAATAAAAAATTAAGTCGAAAAGTCCTCTACCATTTTGCAATTTTCGCAATAGTTAACGAGATATTAATTTCGAAATATTGCTGAATAAACGAATAATTTATAGATATAAAATTATGTTAGTAGATTTATTAATAGATTATACCTAAATTATTTAAAACACGTGATCGTTTGTTACTTAAATGAATTCATATTCATGAGCGATGGAAATATATGTGATCATTGAACAATTCGTATTTCGAACTCATATTAATGTCGGACCGATGAATTGTGTCTATTTCATAATATCACTTTCGATATTTACATAGATTTCTAATTTAGCATTAATTACATTTACATTAACGACTGAATTGCATTACAAAATTAATTATATTTGTGAATTACGTTTCCAGGCAGTTTATGACTTTGCGTTATCTTTTATTCATTAAAATTAATTAGCATAAAGAATCCATATAGATTTAATTGTAAGTTTAGACTGGGATATGTTTATATGTGATTTCAAAATGAAGCGCCATGAATGAATTAGTTCGTAAAACGTGAGTGGATCGGCGTAGCAGTCGCGGCTTCTTTATCATCCATTTATTGTCTTTGGGAACAGCTTTTCGTTTCTCGGTTCTCTAAGTTCTCTTGTCTGTCTTGTCTCTAAATTGTAGAAACTTATCACGGGAAAGATCTTTGACAAAACAAACTTGTTTTTCTACTTGCAATTAGAAACGATCATCCAAGATGAGAATTGTTTGCGCTGCATTAAATTGTAAATATTCCTCAGAAAATGAGGATTCCTCGAATGTCACTTTTATAAATTTTCCCAACGATGACACGTAAGTACAGTATTTTTTCCGATAGGTTAATTATTTTTAATGACGCTTAGATAATTATTAAATTTATTTTGCTTATTTTATCATTGCTCAAAACTACAGTTATTATACTCATTGTTTTATAATTTGAATCTTGACAATAACTTTTATAGAGCCAAAGTTTGGGCAGAATGTTGCGGCAGATCGGATTTAGCTACAAAATCAAATGCGGAATTGCATTTGAATTATTACATCTGTTCTCACCACATTGAAGATCGCTGTTATGTAAGCAAAACTATTCCCATTGTTGTAGAAGAAGGTACCATTCCTACTTTATTTAGGACTGACTTGACTACTGACGATGAAGACCCCATAAATATGTTTCATAAGGCACAGCATCTCCAAGAAATAGATGACAGTGTGCCTTTAACATATTGTGATATGAATGTTGAGATAGATGAGTATCATAATATCTCTGTTAAATTTACCAATTTATGTCGAATCTGTGGGACATCCACTTTGGATGGAATAGATATCTTTGCAAGCAAGGGCATAGAACTTAAATTAAAAGAAAGAATAAATTTACATATGCCTATCTCAATTGACATGAACGATTCATTACCACAGAAAGTATGTACTGATTGCTGTAATAAATTGGAAGTTGCACATTCACTGGTCGTCTCATGTCTTAGGACTGACATGCGCTTAAAACAATTTCTAAATATTGACAAAGAGGTAAGAACTAGTATAACATTAGTCGATTATAATTATAAATATTTTTATAAGTTACATTTATTTATCAAAAATGTTTTTGAAACATGTTTATTGTATTGATAAATGTTTTGTTTTGCAGCCAGAATATGAAAATAAGTACAATGCATTGATTGATGAATGTTCCTTGGAGATAGTCCAAGAAATGTGTATGGATGATAATTTGCATCCTAATTCATTTACTATAAATAAAATGATAAACTCTGATTCAGAAAGTTTAAGAGGATTAGAAAATGGAGAATGTACTGAAATACAGAATAATAATTTTCAGAACATTTCAAAAGATGTGCCATTAGAATTAAATACTCTAATCCAAACTTGTAGAGAAGTTAACAGTAAAAGTAATGCAAATGAGACTATCACAGAAGAGATATTAAACTTGCAACAAGATAAGATTCAAAATGGAAGTCTTAGCGTTATGTGTCTGCAATGCCAAACTTTCTGTGAAACACAGGAAATATTTGAAAATCATAAAATAGTTTGTAATAAGGAGCAAAATGTCTCTGAACATGTAGACATGTATAAAACTGCAGAAAACAGGAACGAGAAACTTGATCGTGAAATAGAAAATTCCCAGACATGCAACAAAACATTTGATGGTAAGCAAGTTATTGATAAAAACTGTGAATCAGTGCATTGTACTGTTTGCAACCAAGCATTTAAATGTCATCAGGATTATGATGATCATAAACATCTTCATGGAAATCTTACCGAAACGAATAAAAGATGTGGTCATTGTGAAAAAGAATATCATAACAAAAAAGACTTGTTAATACATATCATGGAATCGCACGAGGGACGATTATTATTTAAGTGCTGTACATGCGATAAAACATATGAGAAGTGGTCTAGTTTAGATATTCACGAAGCTACTCACAGAGTAGATAAACCTTATCTTTGTGATCTGTGTGGAAAAAGTTTTAAACATTCTAATAATTTAAGGGGTCATAAAAGAATTCATTTGGACGAAGCTATAAAGAAAAGACACGTGTGTGAGATCTGTGGCAATGCGTTTAGATCACGGTAGTAATTGAAGAAATTTATACTCAAAATTATTCCAACTAAATTCAGAAAAACAAGAGGATTATATTTTATACAACTTGTTTCTTGTGTTTACAGATTTCATTTGCGAGAACATATGAATCAGCATGATGACAACAGACCCTATTGTTGTGAACAATGCGGCAAAGCTTTTTACAAAAGGATTCAATTGCGACAACATAAATTATCGCATGGCTCTAATAGGCATACATGTTCGATTTGTGGTGCAACATTTAATCGTAGAGGGAACATGATCGCACACATGAAACGGCATAATAACGATAATGGAGGATATAGATGCAGCGTAAGTATTTTATAAAAACTATAAATTATTATATATTTTTTGTCTTTATACATTGATATCAACTATATCCTCATCGAAAATTAATAATTAGAAATAATAGGAAAAATTGTACATTTTATTATAGGTTTGTGCCTACAAATGTAAATCTATGAGCGAATTAAAGGTACATAGGAAAAAACATACCGAGGAGGAAATAGTGGACAGCATTAAGAAGAAATGTACCGATAAGCAGATATGGCGTTGTAACATTTGTAATAAGATATTCTCGAAGCGCGCCATTTTGTTAAATCACGAGCGCGTACACGAAGACGATAAGTTTTACGAATGTGATGTCTGCGGCAAGAAATTAGCAAGTAAAAGCTCGTTAATGTATCACAAGAAGTCGAAGCATTTGAGAGAGAAGCCGCATATGTGTCATTATTGCGGAAATTCGTTCGTTTCGAAAGAGGCGCGGTTGATTCATGAAAGGATACATACCGGTGAACGCCCTTACATTTGCAAGGTGTGCAATATGCAGTACAGATGCTCCAGTAATCTTAGCCAGCACATGAAGATCCACACGGGTCTGAAGCCGCATAAGTGCCATTTTTGCGACAAAGGTTTTACGCGCAAAGGCGCGCTAACCGTACACGAGAGAATCCACACGGGTGTTAAGCCTTATTCTTGCGAGACCTGTGGTAAAAACTTCTCACAGAAGAATGACATGTTAAAGCACGTCAAACGCACAACTGCAGATGGATGCAGCGCGGTTAGTGTAACCAGATCTTTAAACGAAAGTAAAAATATGTTAAAGCACACTGTGACACACGAGCAAGATTCCTTAGTAATTTCGAATATCAATGCATGACATTCTTCAAGTTTATGTCAATAGCGTCTCTTTGGAAATTAAATAATTTTGGTAGTAATGACGATTGTATATATAATACGATAAACATCAAAACGTATAAAAAGAGCAAATTAAAATCCATCTCTGTCAAGTTTATTATCGAAAAAGGTATAAAAAAGTTGTACTTGAAGACGCTAGTACTCCCTATAAACTTTTCTACATGCAATATCTTTGCTAAATTATTTTTCTCATTTTAATTAGGCTTTTATATCTCATATGTTACAGTCTCCTGATTAGTACAAGTTCTTCAGAATGCAAGAAATCATCGAATTTTTCACTGAATATTTATAGAAATGGAAGCTTTAAGTTACTAGCGAAGGGATGACAATATAGAGATATTCTAAGAATATAAATGCAAGTCAGATAAGATTATTTTATGCTGATGAAACAATATTTCTGTCTGGTTACA